TTGTCACTTTGTGTTTCTTTGCAGTCATTTTGGCTTTTTTGTGGTCGTGCACATTTTGCATCTGTTTGCGGTCATTTTGTGCGTCTTTATCGTTTCGCATTTGTCTACTCGTTTTGGCTCTTTGTCGTGATTGTAAATCTCTTTTGGCTCTCTGGTCATTTCACATCCGATTGTGATCATTTTGTGTGTGTTTGTGGTGATTTTGCTTCACTTTGAGATCATTTTGCATCCATCTCTAGTGATTTTGTCTGTCTTTGGAGTCAATTTGCATCTATTTATGGTTGCTTTGGGTTTGTGGACGGTTTGCATCTGTGGTCATGTTACATCTGTGTGTCACCTTTCTTCTCTTTGTGCTCATTTTTCATCTGTTTGAAGGCCTTTTACATGTGCATGTGATCTTGTTACAGTTCTGTGGTTTTGTGTTTGCAGTCATTTTGCATCTCTCTGTGGGTGTTTGTGTGTCTTTACAGTGGTTTTGTATCTGTCTGGTCATTTTGTGTGACCATTTTGCATCTCTAGTAATTTTGCATCTCTTGTTGTGACGCTTCATTGGTTTGTGGTCCTATTACGTCTTTTTTTGTGTTGATTTTGCGTCCGTGTGTTGTCATCTTGCACTTTTTATCGTCATTTTGAATCTGTTTGTGGTCATTTTGTGTGTCTTTGTAGTTCTTTTTGTCACCATTTTGCATCCCCCTTGTGGCTGTTGTGCATCAGTCTGTGGTCATCTTCTCTCTTTGTCGTCATATTGCATCTCTGTGGTCACTTTATGATCATTTTGCATCTGTTGCTTTGGGTTTGTTGGTGTTACTTATTTACACCATGGTGATCAGCTTGCATCTTTTTATGCCTTTTGCATCTGTTTGTCTTCATTGTGTTTATTTTTGTGATCATTTAGTGTTGGTTTGTGGTTCTTTGCCCTCTGACCCCTCAGGCTCACGAGTCCTGTGCCCTGTAGACCCGGTCAGTAATCTATACATGGATCCTCATATCCTGCATTGGTTACTATTAGACAGAATTTGGTATGCTGGTGTATTCACATAATAGAATCTCAAAAGAATTACATTTAATTTGGTAAACACTGAGGAACCCTCATCAGTCGTTACAGTTTTCATTTGGCAGGAAAGTTCAAAGTGAGATTCAGAGACGACTGCAGCAGGTTGCCAGTATTTGAACACTGTGCGCAATAAAAGCAACCCAAAATGCTCCATGTCCTCGTGAATACAATCCTTTCTTATCCTTTTACAAGTGAATACAAAGGCTTGAACTAAAATTAGCCCAGCTGAGTATTCAGGCCACCTCTGGTAGGAGCTGCCTGTGAATCAGCCTCTCTGTGGTTTCTCTGTGCAGCGACTGACACGCCACACTTCTCCTGACCTTACATCTCCACAAGGTGAGCGCCGATAATCCGCCCGAGGCTGCTAAGAAACACATCTTCACCGCCGTGACATGAGATTATTCAGCATTTCACGGGCTGCTGCCTTTTTACATGGATGACTTCTCTCTGACAGCCGCTGCTTCCTTCGCCTGAGAGTTCAATATCTGTTCATCGTATACTGAGAATATCTGCGGCTGTGAATACAGTGGCTCTGTGATGTTTAATGTGTTCCTGGAGCTGCTTTCACCTGCCACTTACATTCTTCTTTTTCATTATTTGCAGACTCCACTCATGTCGGTCCCTGAGCTAAATCCCAGCTTGGGGCCCATTTCCAATATGTTAAACACTTATCCACCAGACAAACCTCACGTCCCAGTGTTGGTGTAGTCGTGTGTGCAGTATTATGCCCTGAATCCACACGGCAGCTTGGCTCTTGTCAGTTGGTAACACTCCAGTTTAGTCGACAATGAAATGTGCGTTGATGGGTAACGCTGTGAAATCTTCTGCAGATGTTCAAGGTCCAAGAGGATGTATTCTAACTTTTATGATTCCTATTTTGCGCTATTCAGCAAACTAGCATCCTAGTATATGAAACTTAAGAGGGAAAATAGACATAAAGTTAAACAACAACATGGTAGCATTGTGTGTGACAGTCCAAACAATATAGTGTGTGTCTTTGCTGATGAAGGGAACATGTTTTGGACAACAATACGGTAAATATCAGGCTATCAGGATTTTATATTCTTTAACTTGTTGCAACATCTGCTGACCAATAAAAAGATACCATGAAAGGAGAGGGACAGTTTTCGAACAAACCTCAATAACACATCATGTATCTGCAATGCATTCTGGTCTCTGTGGTTCTTATCAGCAGCCTGATGTTGACCTCAGCAGAGCGTTTGGAGCTGCAGACATACAAGCTCTGATAACACGTAGAAATCAGCCGCAGTCAGACTACAGGCGTTCGTTAACTGATGTTTTCATGACTGTCACTTTGATGAATGCTAATGCCTGCACTAGATATGTGTTGCTATGGGAACAGGCATGAGATTGTAATCTGTGCAAACCAAAATGAGGCTGGTTTTTCCATCCGAGTGATTCATCTTTGGACCATCTTTGCTGTGAGGACATTCACAGACCAAAATTACCTGCAAGATTCATTTTCAAGGACAAGCATCACCTTTAAAACGCGCTACAGTGATTCTGTGACAACTTCACAGTGATGTTGGACAGTCGTAGTGTTGACAGCGAGGCTTCGTCCTGCTTATTTTGCCTCTCTGTAGCTGTTTTCAATCTATTTGTGGTCGTTTTGTGTTACTGTGGTGGATTTTTGCATCTATTTGTGGTCATTTTGTACCTGTTTATGGCTGCTTTTTGTCTCAAGTGGTTATTTGATAGCCTACAGCTCCCTACTGTGCCGTAAAATAAGCAGCTTTTGATGGCATAATATGCAGCATTAAAAAAAAAAGGTGTAGATGGTGTAAAAAGCAGTGTTTTCCAGCTTCTGATGGTGTAAAAAGAGACATTTATTTCAGCTTTTGGTGGCGTAAACAGCAGAGTTGTTTCAACTTTTGATGGTCTGAAAATCTTTTCCAGCGTTCGACTCTGTAAAAAGCAGTGTTTGGAGGTTTTTCTTTGCTCTTTGAATGCGTAAAATGTGGAATATTTCTTTAAAGGCAGCATTTTAACTTTTTTTTCTTACATGAATCTACTTTATTTCAGCTTTTGGCTGTGTAAAAAGCAACTTATATGGCTTTTGATGTTCTGTAAGCATGTTTTTTTTTGACAGTGTGAAAA